TTTTTTTTTGTTAAACCGATTTTATGGGATATAATACAAATACAATTAGAGAAGTGAATAAAATCAGAATAGATTTCCATACAATTAGATAATATGAAAGAATTAGATAAGGAAAAGAAAGAATTAAATAATGAATTTTGAATCTGCCTTATTTTTAGTATAAATAGACTTTACGTACAAATTTTGACTTCACCGATTATATGGGATTTGTTTTGACAAAATCGATGTTAATATGGAATAAGACAAATAAATAAAGCCTTTTTTTTTACGTATAAGATGTTATGAGATTTTTTTTAAACTGATTTTATGAAATATAACTATATAAGACAAATAAATAAAATAATTAAATAAAATTCTTTATAGAAATAACAATGCATTAATTACGTTGACTTTTTAACCTACTAAATTTGGTAAATAGGATACCTTATTATATAAGTATAGATTTTGATTTTTTTTGCTCACCCGATTTTATGGAATTTTTTGTGTCAAGATAAGAAGAATTAAAAATTAAAAGTTCAGCATAAATTTATAAGAATGCTTTTTTATGGGATTTATGTACATAATTTTTTATGTTAAGATTTATAAGAAGGAATTTTTATGTCAACATAAATTATAAATGCATTAATTACTACTTGATAAAACTAAAAGTTCATTAATTAAGTTTGACTTTGCTACCTACTATATTAAGTAAATAGGATCCCCTTTAATATAAGTATAGATACTTTCACACTTTAAAATATATGTCCTATAGTTTTAAGAATTTATTATTATTTATTTTTAAATTCTTATTTATTTTATTTTATGATATATAATAATTTAATATATGATTTATATGTTTATTTCATTCGTTATAAAATAATTGTAATTTTAGAGTTATTGATTAGAATGAAGGATAATGGAATTTTAAAATATTCAAATATTAACAATAAAAATAGTCACATAATACTTCTCTCTCGATCCTCCTCAATCATACGTTATTACAATATTTCATTCCATAAACAAGTTATGCTAAAGTCGAAAAAATTTGGCAAATATTATAATCAACATTAATTGAAAAAGACTGTAATATATATTATTTTGAAGTCAAAAAATATAATAATTGTTAATTATGTCAATATTATTTTTATTTTTCTTATAACGATGTCTATTATAAGTAATTTAATTTATTCCTAATATATTAATTTATATGACATTTCGACAACTGTTCATTTATCACTATAATTTATAAAACTACACATTATAAGTACTTTTTTTCTAAGTTAATATTTGCATGGACAGTTCGACAATGATCCCTTAAGTTATCATCATAATTTGTGACATTATATATAAAAAATATTTATTTCTAAACTTATAACTTGCATGTCAGTTCCACAAATGGCTCATTGATTTATCATAATTTATAACAATAAATATTATAAATATTTAGATTCCTTATAGTCTAATAATTTAAATGATAGTTCGAAAATGGTCATTTAGTTTATCATTTTAATGTCGTATATACATGAACCCAAAAGTAATTGTTTCCTCATATTTAATATATGTAGCACTAATTTGTTAAATCCATATGAGGGATAAACATAATAATTACTATTTTGGATTATTTTATAATAAACACATTTTAATATGAATATGTTATTATCGATTCAATAAGAAATCAAGCGATTTGTTATTAATGTTGATGAATAAAATTTTACTGTAATATTACGATAAGTCATAATAAAGTTTATGTAATTAATTTTTTATTTTAGTTGTGTAATTATATTGGAAATTTTATCACGCATATCCGAATGATGTTAGAAAACAGACAAAATATATTAGTCGGTTTTTGAAAGACATTGTAGAAATTCACAAAATATGGTTTTGTTACAAAAAGAACAAGAAATTGCATTGACTGTAATTAATATTAAGAATAGAATTTTATTGTGATAATTATCCCAAGATAACTTTCAAAATTTGATACCATTTTATTTATATAGAAAGTCATGTTATTAACTGAATTGCATGACCTGCAATAGATATGTATAATTTTATTTTTTTTAAAGTTTAAGTAATTTTATGCTATATTTTTTTAATAGTAAGTCAACCTATTTAATTATAAAATCAAAGTTACTATTTTAAATAAATTGAACAACCTCTTTCAGTACATATAGATATAGATATAGATTATTGAAGAAAATATTAAATTTGATGTAAAGAAAACCGAATTAGAACATGAAATTCACTCATACTATCGTAAGCAAAATTTATTTATTTATTTTACATTGGTTCATACACATTCACACACACATCAACACGAATGTGCATTAGCTCGATGAGTACACCGTCGCCATTGTACAAATATTGCAAGACTTTCATTTCTTTAGCATCATAATCCCAACCGTTTTTGATTTTTTCGTGCGAATACATTTTCAACGTTTGATTCAGATAAACAAAATACAACATGTAGGTTTTAATGTTCTTTGAACAAATTATAAACATTGAGAGAATGTCTAAAAATGTTCTATATGCCTTACATACACTAAGGTGCAACAAATCCAGGATCCATAAATCAAGCTGAAAAGAAATAATATTAATAATGTACATTTTTTAACATTTGATTCAGATAAACAAAATATAAAATGTAAGTTTCAATGTTCTTTAAACAAATTATAAACATTGAGAGAATGTCTAAACATGGTTCGATATGGCTTAAATGCACTAAGGTGCAAC